AAGACAATTACATTGTGGTGAGGCACAAATAAAAACTTGGAATTTTCATTCTTCTCCAGAAGTATTATTTTACAAACAATACATTATACTGAGAAAATTATTTTGGTTAAATGGCATTTGACCCCAGTGCTTACTTTATTTCATGACTAAAATATGTTATTTGAAGAGTTTGTAGAGTTTATGTTTTTAGAAATGTGTCTGATGAGAAAGAACTGCATTCAATCTATGAACAGGACATTTATCTTGTCCAAAGCGATCGAAAGGCTGTAAAAGTCAGAAGTACCAAAAACCAACAGTAGCATGCTGCAACTAGTTTAGCTAATGGGCATGAGGTCAGTAACATGATTGGGAATTTAAAAAAGCCTCTTAGAAAGACAGCATTTCTCAGAAGTAACGATTGGCAGAGGCCAAGCCTTCTGCAAAAACTGCGTCTTCACATTTGCAGAGCAACTGCTGGTCAATGTTCCTCTGACTTTTAATGTTGAATCATCCACAGTACATGAGATTCTAAAAGAATAAGAATAAAGAAGTATTGGAAGAGATCTCTGTGCACCAGGGAGATGACCAAAAATCACGGGGGACTTAGGGAACACGGCCAAAAGTCAATATTGAATTTCTGTGATCCTCAGGGCCTGATAGCACTGCATTAAAAACAGGCACGAGTCTGTCAAGAACATCACTGCAGGGGCTCATGAAGTATGGAAGCTAGATGAGAACCACCAATGCTGACAGGTTTAAACAGGTCTTAGAGCAACACGTGCTCTCCTTCTGCTATTTTTCCCAGATACAGCCTTATTTCAGCGAGACAAGGCTAGACTGCATCCTTCATCTATGACAGCAGCATGGTTTCACAAAGAATATTAGGACGTGTTTGCCTGCAGATCAGACCATTCAACAACTGAAAACATTTAGCGGTGAAGGCAAAATTGGAAATAAAAAAAGGCCCAGGATGCTATGGCAGACTGAATTTATATCAGAAAAGAATATTTATCACCCACTGTCCAGCTGAAAGTGTCTGTCCCCAAAATGCTGCTGAAACATTGGCAAACATTGCCAAGTCAGAAGTTTTGTTAGATGTGTTACTGCCATCTAAATAAAGATTATATCTAATGAAAAAGCTAAATCTCTCTCTCCACATGTCATGTCACTGCTAATAAAATTTTAGTCCACAATATTTGCAGTCTGTTTTTGTTTACACAGCATGCAGCGTGAAATGGAGCTGTACAAAAATATTACCTTGCTGTCAAATCCTGGAAGCAGCCTGCATCATTAAGAATGCCCTCTAGGTCAGGGCTGATTAAGTTGATAAATAGGTGCCTGGTAGAAATGGAAATCGGGGTGGGGAGTGAGTGGCTGAGACGGGTTATAGAAAATCCGTCAAATGTTGTGATTTCAACCCCCTGGGATATCAGGGTGGAATGGCTTTGGTTAACAAGGAAATGCAGGCCCCTTTACCTTGTTCTCTCATTACAAGGGAGTCACAATGAGTCAAGATAATCAGTGTCGGTGTTACATTTGCTTTTAAGATGACTCAGTGTGTTTCCATGACATGGTAGAACTGCGATGGAGCTCCTCCATTTTCTCTTGAATACACAGAAAGCACCCTCTCCTCCGTAAAAGTGCATGGTATATGGCTCTCATTCACTCCTGTCCTACTAATTTTACCTCTGACGGCATAAGCATTGGTTACCATGGTGACTATGCTTGCACAGAACAGTGATAAAGTTGTAATCCACCCCCTCCAAACTGCTCTAAATTATCATCGCAAAAAACGTTGAACTGTGAATGTTAGGATTTTTCTGAATGTTGGAAAATGGCCCAGATGTCATTTTTCCATCAAGTTCTATGCAACTAACAGTATTTTTAACTGTTGTCCCTGCCTTTCAATGCCTTTCTCTGTTTGCTTTTCACTAACAGCACTCAGGCAGTTGGAGAATAAGCAGCAGTCTTCCTCCTGACTGCCTCAACAGAGGGACGATTCTGCACAGACTAACTCTTCTTTTTAGTGAGCATGAAGTCAACAGAGATATTTTTATCAAGGAAAACACCAAATAAAAAGAACAGAACCAAAGCTGGTCCCATTTGATTGTTTACTTTATGGCTGTAATAATACATTGAAAGTTATTCTACTCATCTACATTACCATGTGTAACTTCTGCAAAATATCAGATTTAAAAGAAGGAAAAAGTAAATCATATTTCAGATTCCGTGAATTAGCAAGATGCAAGCTCTCTATAACAAATTAGATCTTCAGTGTTTCTGAAATCCCGTTTTTGTAATCTTTGTATTTTTACTTAAACTAGAGCAATTTTCTGAATTTTTTTCAGGGTTCACATCTATTCAGAAACAAAATCCCTGAGTTTTGAAAAATATTCAGAACAAAACTTATGACTCCAAATAGAATAATCAATGATGTGTCAGTGAGAGAAACTCGTGATCTTGTATTTCACTTATTATTCTGGATTGAACTCATTCTTATACATAAACTGAGAATCTGTATAACAAACATTTTAACAATCTATGAACTGCATTACGTTTAAGAACAAGGACATTTCCCTTATTTTCTTCCTTGTTCTGAGGTATTAGCTTTAGCATCAGTCTCATAAAAGAACCTTATGAAACCCATCAAAAGTGCAGATAAGACCAAACTACTGGGAGGGTGAGAATCCACAGGTCAAAAGGTGGAGTCATGCATTGCACTTCTTCAGCGCAGCGTGCTGCCTGGAAAACTTCATTCTTAAGCTGAGCGAAAGTTCAACCATGACCTGACACTGATGTCTCTTAGGATTCACGTTGACTCGCTCCTCATCACGCCGACAGCTTTCGCTTTTCTCTCAATTCTTAAACATTTCCATTATCGCACTCTGCAGTTTTTGGAGGGTTCAGTGCTCACAGTGGAGTGCTTTTTGGGTAATCTCCTTTGTCTTAAAGTTTCTCACACATCACTTTGGTTTTTAAGCCCACTTTCATCTTTATTTCTAATAACAGTTTGTCTTATCGTAGAAGTAAAAAAAAAAAGAAATTGTTTTTCCGTATCAAATTAAACTTGGGGGGATTTCAGAATCAGAATCAGAATCAGAATCAGAATCAGAATTGGGTTTTATTGCCAAGTAGGTTTACACATACAAGGAATTTGCTTTGGTGAAAGCACCGAGGCAGCCATTTTCGGCGCCAAGACATCTTCAGAACCAAAATGAATACGTTGGGAAAGCAGTTGCGGGGAGAGGGGAAAAAAAAGGCCCAATGCCACGCCCCCTCCAGGGGACGTAACAGTGATTTAAAAAAACACCTCTTACACTGAAGCACAGATACAGTCAATCACAACATCAAGGACACATAGGGAGGGGGGGTTGGGGGGTTGGAAAGAAGGGGAAAGGTAAGAAGAACTGATAAACTAAATTCTATTCACTTCATCAGAGGTGAGGGAAGGTCTATAAACACAACACAGTTAATTATTTCTAAGAAGAACATTTCAGGCACTGCATTAATTATGTTTTCTTTTGTTTTGGCGACAAGTAAACCCTGAAAACCCCTTTGGAATTATATAACGGAGCATTTCTTGCCATCTCCAAAGTTTTCTTGTACTTTTCATGCTTCTTTAAATAATTTGATTTATCTGGGAAGGATTTGCCTGTCTGCATCTCAGGGGAAAGTGGCTGGTGACATGAGTAAGGGTGTGCCTTTATTAGTGGACATCATTATTCCAGACAGTCAACTACATGAACAGGGTGTTGACTTATACCACCTGACATTTGCTTGGTGCTTTCCAGATAGACTCCCTGCATTGGAAAGTTCAAATATTCACAAAGAATGTGGGGGGCTGAAAGGTGGGAGGACGCTGTACACAGGCATCTAAGCCTGCATGTGGTTTCTTTGGGAAATCTGCCAGAAATGGGGAGGCAGGTTTTTCTTTTTCTTTTTTGTCTTTAGGGTTTGAGGGGTCACACTGCTCCAGAATGAAAAAGCTCTGTTTCTCATTACATCAACCCATACGTCCACATGTCTGCCCCACCTCCCCGTTTCCTGGAATTGTTATGTCAGTCAGTGATCCAGTCCCTCTCCCCCTTACTTACCAAATCTAGATATATGTGTGAGCGAGCGTGATTGTGCGTGATTAAATGGGTAATAAGACGGCATGCTGGCAGGGAAGCGTGTTGGGAAAATGAGGGATTGCAGAGTTGCATTCGCTTATTATTGAATGCATTCGAATAGAGCTACAAAGCACTGCAAGACAAAAAGCAGTGGGGAGTTGGCAGGGAAGTATTTTGGATCTGTTCTTTTCTAGATGACTCTGTACAGCTTTCTGCACTCTTTATCTTGATATCACTTCCTGTTAAAGGAAAGAGAATAAAGCTGACGAAAAGCAGCACGCAAGAGGTTTTCTGCCAGAATATGCTCTATTACCTGCTCCTATTATCATTATACTATCACTGGATGGATACAGGCGTTTGGATTTCCTCTAAATCAAAGCCAACACAACCACAGATGGTCGTAAGCCAAATAACCAGTAACCCCTCCTGCACAAATGAGAAGACAGGCAACTATTTGCCTTGCACCATTTCTGCGCACAAGATCAGATATGGAGGGAAACTTTGGGAGAGAAACTGCTCCTGCTTTGAAGCACTTTGTGCTGGTATAGTTGTGCTACGGAGCTAAAAAAAAAAAACACTGATCTGCTGAGGGAAAACTTAAGAGCTTCGGTTATTTATAAAATGATGGAACTTTAATGAATGACGAATATAAAGACGGAGATAGGGAGAAAAATAAAACAATCACAAAATCCTGTAACGAGTCCCTTCGGGTATTTATATGTCGGGATGTGCACAATAACACAATCTCTGACTACCTGAGGGCTCACCCCGGAATCCAACAGGGGGAAGCTCCAGCTCGGAGCAGAAGTGCTCCTGTGCGTCCGCGCTTTTGTCCCGCTGAACGCGGAGGCCTGGTGGGTGGATAAGTGAAGTCACATGGTCGGTTTTCCTTTTTCCCACATAAACACACCCACATCCTCCTCCATGCAGCCACTCTTCACTCTTCGGCTCACCACTTACCCGCAGCGGGCATAATTCTGCTCCGTCTGGATCCCGGAGCCGCACAAGTTGCGCCTTTGCGAGCAGTTCCCTCCTCACAATGTGTCCGAGTGGGGAATAACATCCGTCTGGGGCCACATTTATCCACCTTCACATCGGAGAAAACTTAACATCACGTCGTCCGAGGGCACTTTAGAGTACTTTCTTTCAGGTAATTTTCAATTTGTGCAGATTAACGCGAAAGTTTCAGTGTTTGCTTTTTGTTTTGTTTTAATTCTGGCTTTTAGCTTCAGTCCATTTATCCGATTGTGCGTTACTTTCATTTGTACTTTACTTAAAGTCATTCGACTCCTTGAATCGAGGGATGTAGACGCAGGCTGCGTTTAAACGTGCACCGGCAAAGGTTTTTTTTTGGGGGGATTAGTGCAGTGAAACAACTTCATGTGCAGGCCTAATGTAAGGCAGCCCCCTGCATGTCCCTCAACCCCCACATCCAGAGGTTTCTCTGCTCCAAAGGTGCGAACTGCTCTGCAGAGGGGCTCATTTACTTGAGGCCTACCTTTGTTTATCGATGGCCATGCTTTACAGCGTGTTCTCTTCCCACAGAAGGATAAGCTCTTCCTTTCTCATCACAACAGACATGAGTCCCATTTATGCAGGGGGACACTTTATAAACGTTGTTTCTGAAATCCAAAAATCCACAATGAATTAACTTGAGACAAAGTTGCTAGTTGTATTCAAAAGGTAACATGTGCACATGCATGATGGATTATTATATATTATACTGTATATTCTGACACAAACACTTGCATCAGACCCTTTTTTTCTTTTTTTTGCGCATCAACAGCTTTTCACTGACAAAGAAGCATCAATCAACCAACAATGTTCACTCTCCCCTGTCTTCATCTGTGTAATTACATGAGTCACAGTTTCATTGGTGCCATACAGCCTCTTTTTGGGTCTGAAACACCCTCCTCTGCCATGACAGCCCGAGTGCGCGCTTAGCTCTGCTGTTTTCTCATCTCCTCCAGAGGCAGAGTCGGAGGCCTTGCAGCGAGGACATGAGTTTGGTCGACGTGAGACAGACGGCGGCGAGCCTGACCCTCTCCCTGACCACTCACGACTCCAAGGAGCGCTATTTCGACCGCACGGATGAGAGCGATCCAGAGTACCTCCGCAGCAGGAACTTGTCGCCGGACCTGAGGCAGGATTTCAACATGATGGAGCAGAAGAAGAGAGTCACCCAGATCCTGCAGAGTCCAGTATGTAGCCTGCAGCTATGTGCAAGTGCCCTCCCACACAGAAGCTTTCTGTGCATGAGTAATGTCTGAAGCCAGAGAGGCGCTGAATGCATTTTTATTCCTGTTTATGTAAGGTATTTCTCTCCTAGCCTTCTGCATTTAGTTCTGTGATACCACAGTTATGAGCAATCTTAAGCCGCATCGTGTTAATCGTTGATAGAGTTGGAATGAAAAGAGCCACTCACAAAGGTCCATCTTTGTAGGTCCTTGTGTTTAACTCGTATCTTTTTTAAATGCATTGATATTATTGTTAGTCTATTGTAAATATTTTATCGTGGTTACTGACCATTTAACTAAGACCCATGCATACTGTATGTGGTACTCAAACATTATCTCATTTGGGCTAATCAGAAATTATTACTGGCTCTTTTTAATTTTCTTTTGTTTCAGTCAAGAAGAAACAACTGGGAGATAGTCTGTTGTTGAACTTCTGATTAGTGCGTGCAACCCGCGCCAGTGCATTCGAGTTACTCCTGCATTTAAGAGGAAGCGTGTTCTTTGTGATGTTGCTAAACGGCTGCATACATTTAATCTGCATCTACAGACCCATGACAGACAGGCTAAATAATAGAGGCAGCTTAGTGTGGCTACATGTACAGTGAGGTGCGATACACGCACACACCAGCACAGTGCATGGAAATAAGACGAGCCCACACTCATATGCGATTGCATAACAGACCCAACAAGTGGAACTCATCTCATCACCATGGGAACCGTGGACAGATGAAGCAGAATGCCAGAGCTTAGCTGCGACTCGCATGAAAATCGTGTTGTTTCAAGACTCGCATGCCTCTCTCGGTACGAGAAATTGATGGTCAGCTCTAATGCCACCCCTGCTATTAATGAAGGCCCTTTTCTTAGCCACACAAAGAGCCTTTTGTGTTGCCTCTTCTCTGATTTTTGTACAGTTGTTATATGGAGTGTCTGAAATCACGCTGGGCTCCCTGACACATCCTCAGGAGGTGCTGGAATGAGGTCAGGTTGTTTATATAGGAGTTACAGGGATAGTTAATCTGTGTTTCTTTCCCCTTCCTATCATCGTTGTTTTCAGGTGTTTAAAGATGAGCTGGAAGGTTTGATTCAGGATCAGATGACAAAGGGCAATAACCCGTCAGGTCTCCTGGCACTGAGACAGATTGCTGACCTGGTCATGGCCAGCACAGTGGGAGGTGCTGGCCCTTTGACTTCCCCCATGGGTGAGTGGCAGTGTTTGTTGGAACACATCATCCATCTCTCTTTTAGCCCAATTGTCATTCGATGTGTACCTTCTGTGTGTGTGCATTATGCAGGCTGATAATCCTCATTGTCTGCCTGAACTCTCAGAATCTTGTGACATTCAGCAACCCTGAAACAGCAGAAAGTTGCTGACAGCATTCTCTGTTGTCAGTGTTCTCGGTAAACAGCCCTCATGACCAGTCATACTAATGAATTAGTATGGTTCGCTGGGGTAACCATATTTGTTTTTTGTGGAGGGTACAGACAGACTATAGCAGAGAGGTCGCTGAGACAAACAGCTCCTTTAAGAAGCCAAAATGGCTGTAAAAGCTCTAGTTCAGTATCATTAGTGTCCTTATATGGTGTTATGTCCAAAAATACCCTTCAGTTTTACGAGGCGTATTTCTGAGAAAAGGCTTTTTTTAATCATCAGGTTTGTTTGCTCGTATTCCCTGGACGTTTAGCTCTATATACAGTGAAAGGAAAAACCATAAACATCCCTGCAAATGTTTTAATGAAGATCTTATATATGATATAACATACTAACGAGGTTATATCTTATGGCAGGCTTTGGGATGGTGACTCCAGTCAATGACATGTACAGCATGGAGTCTCCCTCCTTTGCCAAAGGAGAGAAACAGAGTCGTTGCAGGCTGGCTAGCCTCTACAGGCTTGTTGACCTCTTCAGCTGGGCTTGTTTTACAAGCTCCTACATTACCGTGAGTACAACTTCATTGTCACGCGGCAGTGAAAACCTGCTCATTCACGCTCCAAAAGGTTTGTTTCTTTATGTGAGCCTCACGCTCTCAAATCTCCTGTACAGCTTTTGGGGGAATGCTTCTATATTTTCAGAAAGTATTATTTAATTGTGGATTGAAATGTAAGAAATGTAAATGAGAAACACTTCCCCTCTTCAATTAAATCCATAAATCCTGCCCATCCTCTTTTTTTTTGTCTGCTTGTTTTTTTTATGTTTGAGTTAGCCGCTAAGACTTCAGTATTAAGGTCATGGTGGCAATGATTTTTGACTGACCATTTGACCCTGACAGGAATTAACTATTTAAAAACGTTGGAATTTACTCACACAGTTTATTTACTCATAACTTTGAGAAGTGTTTTTACTCATGGTGCGTTTTTCTTCCCGCTCAGGTCAGAGTCAGCAAAGAGCAGGATCATATTCTTATCAGCCCTCGAGGTCTGTCTTTTGCTGAAGTGACATCAGCAAATTTGGTAAGAACAATGGCTGTTTGGGCTGACCTTTTCAAGTAAGGATCGGAAACAGTGCACTATTATAAAAGTTTCATGTTTAGTCATCAGCCATACTCGAGGTCAGTGCTCATTCAAACCCCATCCAAACATAACGTGTTCTAGATCTTATATTGACATGTATTTAAATCAATCTAACATTAAGTATCTAATTCAATTCTTGTGTTTGATCAAAGCTAAATGACTTGTTTTGTTCATTATTTTAATTTCATTACACGTAAGTATGTTAGACTGACTGAAATCATGTAAAACTGAGCTTCACAAAGCCGGACAAAAAGCTGTACTTTGAAACCGTGTTGTTTCAGCTCTAAAATGCTCAACTTAATGACAGTGTTTTGCTTTGATGCCACACCTATCTCACTGAAGCACAAAAAGCTTCTGTCGATCATAAACTAAAATCCTCTTTTGTGGCTTTAGAAGGGAAAATCTATTTTTCTGAAATTGTGACAAATGTATTTACTTCATACCGTTTTATATAACTGGTGACGGGAAATCGTTCAGTATCTTTAGTACTTGTACCTTATCTGTGTACTCAGCCATTTGGGAGACCTCACAAACCTGTCTACAGGCTTCATAATCGTGTGCATGTGTTCCATTCCTCACTCAGTAGATGCCGGTCTGTTGGGACACAGTTAGTTCTCCATGTGGAATTGATAAAAAGGTGTGCTTCTGTTTCTGCAGGGGGTCAAAGCTGCTTGCATCAGCTGAGCTGGTATAACTGGCCTTTGAAGGTTCTCTTACCAATGTCTTGGTTGCAGCTGAGCTAAACAATGCCAAAGGCTGTGCCAACTTCCAAGCTAGATTTGGATCCCTTATATTAATGTTTCCCACTGACTAATTTATAGAGGCAATCCACCAGTGACTGGACAAGGGCCCTTCAGGGGCCAGCCAAATTTCAGCTCAGGCCCCTTCCGCTCTGGCTTCATCCATCGAGACTTGGACATGGCCATGAATCCATAAATACCTAATATGCTTATGAGATAATATGCTTGATGAGAGGAAAAAGTGCTGTGCACATAGAGTGCATTTCCTTAGTAAAAAAGCTGTGCTAGGTTTCCTGGGAATGATAATCACCATTTGTAATGCCCGGTGTTTTCCACATGGGTAAGACAAAACCTTAATGTAGGCCCACATTTTGTGGTTTCTAATGTCTAATGCCACAAATTCAATATATATATATACACACCAGGCTGAAATCTGAAGTATCAAAACATGAAGGAACAACATTTAGCCACTGTGTGGTCCCATCACTGCCTCCTGCCTTTGCTGTAGGTCCTCACGCATTATTTCCGTGTGTGTGTCTGCAGTTCTTCTTTTAGATGGCTGCCATAAAGGTGCCATGTAAATACCCATATTCCATTCATTTGTTGATTCATTGAGCCCCTAAAAGTTTGAAAGGCATTTATAGAAAATATTGCACCTTCACTGAACTTTTTAATGCTTACTGTGCAGTCATAAAGTTGCTTCCTCCAATTGCCTCTGCAAGAAGTAGTTAATGGAGACATTCATTGTATGTGCAGTGAATGGACTTGTAAAGTGTTTTGTCACCGGATACGCTGGGAATATTGTCTCTGTGATGTTGTGCCATCATATTGACATTTCTATATCACAGCATTTGCATTGTTTTAGATGCGCGGCCTGTGATTGTTAAATGAGAAATTCAGTCTTGTTAGAATTGAAAAATGAATGCATTAAAGACGCCGGCTGGCTTTAGATTGTCAGCTGCTCTTCTGGGCCGGCAGCTGGCGCTTATGGAAAGTGTTTGGCCCTGACGTTAAGGGTATTTACATATGGGTCCCTGTTGCGCACAAGGTTTGAAAAAGTCTGGGGAAGAGGATAATCCACCTGAAGGTTTCACAGGTGAATTTGATCAATCTGAAATAATACCAAAAAATACCATGTAATCGTATTTGCGTATTCATAGTAATAAATCACATCGGTAACTGTCTCTTTTCTACCATGTGCAGGTTAAGGTCAACATAATTGGGGACATCGTGGACCAGGGTTCTACTGAATTGGGCATTGACCATTTTGGATTCGCTCCCCATGCGGCCATTTACTCCATGCGTCCCAATGTGAGATGCATAATCCATATACATACCCCAGCTACAGCTGCTGTAAGTACGCTCCAGGCAGATGTTAAATGAGCTTCATCTTAATCACAGCATTAAAGCTGCTGTTAAACGCTTTTTCTGCACCAGAGGGTGACAGCTGATTTGAGGGTAGGCTCATGCATGCCTCATTATTTTAGCAGCGGACACCCTGTAAAGCATTTTACCATCCTCTTTGAAGTGTGGCTGTAAAATGCACAGCACACGATGAGCAGCGCCGCATAGCTGTGTTTTTATTAAGCCTAAAAGCAAAAACGGAGCCTCTGTTGAGATGCCGGTGCGTCACGTCCTCACTTATTTGTATCCCACGCAAACAGGTGTCCTCGATGAAATGTGGAATCCTGCCCATTTCCCAGGAGGCTTTGCTTCTGGGAGAAGTGAGCTGCTTCGGTTACCATGGCAGCCTGGATAATAAAGAGGAGAAGGTGGAGTTTCAGAAAGCCCTGGGCCCAAATGCCAAGGTACTTTTAAACTCGAGCACTATATTAGTGGCAGGCTCACTTTCACTTAAGACAGGTTTGGCTTCTCCTATTTTTACCTGGTAATTTGCAAATGTTTTGCCTGAAATTATTCTGAAGGTTTTATTGATTGAAAGTACAGGGAAAAAATGTAGATGCTATGACTGGCAAACATTATACTTTTAGGATTTGGGGTCTTGTGAAAAAGAAATTAATATTATTTAAAGAATAGAAAAATTATACATGGAAACCTTTTTTTGAAAACAAATAAGGACACAAGTCTTAATATGCAAATGAGCCTGCAGTTAAAAGAGAGCTCTGATAATACCCAAGGGACAATTTGACAGGACTTATTGGCAACACAATTCTAAAAACAGATGTCAGTAGTAGAAACTTCTTCAAGTGCAATTAAACTGTTATTCAGATAAATTATGTGATTTAGGCAGCTGTGTCTAAAATTTAGAAACTGGACTAACAAAGGGTTGGTCTGGTTTTGTCAACAAGTGAGACCAACGGTTTTATATTTTTTGCACTATTTGCAGCATTATTTGGACTTTCCTGGGTCCTTGCATCCCTTTGTGGCGGCCGGACAATTAGCAGCTTTCAGAGCAGATATAAAATATCCCCTTAAATTGTTTCCGTTTGTCAAACAAACTGAGTATTCTCTTAATTTTGTTAATCAGTAATATAGAAGGAATATAAATAGGTTGAGACGATATAATGCTGCCATTACCTGAGCTATTCACCCCTGCGCTGTCATTTTATCCTCTACCTGTTCATCCCCTTCCAGTAACACTAGCTCTCAGTGTTAATCCAGCAAACATTAGTTTGTTGAGACATATTACCAGGCTTTGCTCTGTTAGCTTTTTTTGGAGGGTTTCATCTGTGTGAGGGGAGATCAGAACAGATGGAAGCATGTTTGCTACCATGACTAAACTGTTAATAAGCTTGGTGCTTTACGCTTATCTGTACAGTGCATCATGGCCGGCAAGCTGTGAGCTAAACTATATCAACTTTAATCTAGTTTTGTTCCTAAACCTTTGGTTTAAAGTCATCTTGAAAGCATTCCAAACGGATAGCATTCACCTCGGATTGTTCCAAATATTGAGACAGCCGCAATGATCATCAAATGTTTTAATGTGCATTGAATCATTCTACAGAACTTGTCATCTGAAATGACACTGCAATGAAGATGCACATTAGGGAGAATAAGTGCCTCCTAGTTTGCTATATTGTGCTCTGTATACAAGTTGTGTAGTTTGACTAAAGAGCCGGATTTTAATTGTCCCAGTTGTTTCACCAACAGCCATGTAATTGATTTATTTTAAACAGCAGTAGGCAGAAATAGAGGAAAGGCAGAAAGACTCCCACATTTAAAAATAGAGTCCTCCCACTCAAGCTGTCCTACTCGAGCTTGTTTATTTCATTTTCCTTCTGTCCTTAAGGAAAGTTCTGTTTGCCAATTCAACTTCAGCCTTGTGGACATGCGGCATTATGCATCTGACAAGACTGACCGCTTTTTCTGTGTTACTGTCCAGTGTGTGCCTTTAGGCCAACGAAAGAAAATCCACCTTTCAGCACTGTCCATAATTGAATAGGGCTTTACATAATCTTAATATGTATGTGCATGCATGTGTTCCTGAATTTTTAGAGAAACAAAAAAAAACAATGGCAACTGGAACAGAGCAGTTCTGTTTTTTTCAAAGTTTTAAAACCAACCAAAGAGGATATGTGGGCCCAGTTCGGTGTCTGAGGGGTTCAGAAACAGTAAAATTGTGATTTTGTCCATTTGCTACCAGTTTTTCTATGGAAAGCATTTCAAATCATCCGTGATATAATTGACATTTTTGGAAACGTGGTGTGTCTGGATATGTGGATTAGTGGTAGCTTTGATGGATTTTCTCAGTGCATCAAATGTTTGGTGAAGCATTAAGTGTTCTGTGTGCTTTCAGGTGATGATCCTGAGGAACCACGGGCTGCTTGCTTTAGGAGAAACAGTAGAAGAAGCGTTTCACTATGTGTACCACTCACAACAAGCCTGTGAAATCCAGGTATAAAAAATTGACTGTGTAAATGTATCACTTTCAAAAGTTTATTTTGGATTCATATTGTCTGCTAGTAAAATTATTTGGAATTATATCAATTTGAATATGAATAGAAGACAGTATGAGAACCTAGAATGGAGACTCTGCTATCAACAAGCATGCAGGAGGTGCAAAGTAAATCAAATCTGTTAGAGATCACCGTTCTTTGACTTGTATTATTTGCGGTTGTTATTACATATCACCCATTTTGAAATGGCTGTTTTAGAATAGATTAACAGGTCAATGCTAATAATCAAATTCCTTTGGTCAGGTGAATGCTTTGAGGTGTTCGGGCAACCTGGACAGCCTTGTGCTCCTGGACAGGGAGAAGTTTAAACCCCTGACACAGGAAGTGGTCGCTTCCGGGGTGGTGATGGACAATGAGGTCAAGTGGAAAGTGGGCGAGGCTGAGTTTGAGTCTTTCATGAGGATGCTGGACAACCTGGTGAGCGATCTCTGAGTGCCTGATTAGAGAACACAATAACAGTACATGTGTGTTCGTTAAACCTGTTCAAAATTTGAATTACATTGCATTATCATTTCTGTCTTTAGGTGTACTTTCTCTTACTATAACGCAAATGTTATAATTATTATGAAACTGTACTGAGCCAAGAAAACTGTAAAGGCGCCAGGCACTGTGGGATTGTCCTTTGCACTAACTATAAAACAAACTGTTTTAACCACACTTATAATGGCCCAGTCCTGGCTTGTTCTTGGGATGAAAGAGATGTCAAACTGTTTGGGTGCTACTCGCTAACAACTGTGCCTGTACCGGGCTGCAGCTGTGCTAACTGTGCGCCCATAGCCACCCCTTCAATCATAGCTTCCAGATGGTGTGGCACGGTGAAGGCAGTTACAGCCACACAGACCACAAATTCACTTAGTGGAAGGACTCCAGCACACTCGAAGACCTTTGAGTGCAAATGGGAGTTCAGTTGCTGTAACTGAAGTTCTGACCTTCCCTGCTAGAAGGTGGAGTTTGTTCGTTATGATGAATCAAAAAGGATTTTGCCTCAGTCACAAGATCACACTCGGCGCGGTTCATGTTAGTTGATCGGCTGGTGCCTTCAGAGCCACTTAAAGAAGCGGAACCCTTCTCAGCTTTCCCTTCCAAACTACACACGCAGAGTGAGGCAATGGACCCAGAATTTGATTCGGCAGCGCAAGACGTCACTCCATTTAAAGTAAATGAGACGTGAGACCACTGACGCTGTATGTGACTCCAGCCTGAATAGTAATAGTTTTTGTGAAAGAAAACTTTTCTTGTGCAGAAAAGTATACAAATACTTCAACTTCTGTATTTTGTATTCTATGTGTTCTCACAGTTTCAGTCACATTTAAAAGGCTTTGATGGTTCAGGCTCCAGTGAACATTTCTGTGAAGATACAGAACCCGCGCTGTGACCATCAAAGCTTGGTGCGAGGCTTTGTTATCGTGGCAAACTTGACACATTGTCTGTGCAGAAGTTCCCGTCTTTATTATTTTTTTCATTGTTTTATGGCCGCCTGCACTTCTTAGACCCCATCAGTAGAATTCTCTCCCAGGCTCTGATGCATTGTTAACAGGCCAGATTCTTTTCCCTCTGAAACTAGACAAATGTGTAAAGGCTATGTTTGTGTATATTGTGTTGTTTGAATATTTAAAAAGCAGTATGTAAATAGATGTGGGGGGGGGCTGCAAATTGTCTTCATTTTTATCTAATTTGTTCAGAGGATCTCCTGCTTGATCAGTTTCTTGGATACTGAAGAGCTATGAAAACTGTGAATTTCACTCGTTATGTTTCAGTGGTTCAGTTTGCATCTTACAGTTGTGTTTCCTTTCGCAGGGATACAGAACCGGCTACTCCTACCGCCACCCCATTGTCCGTGAAAAGCCCCGTTCTAAGAATGACGTGGAGATCCCTGCCACCGTCTCAGTTTTGCCACCAGATGACGATGAGCTCGGTCTGCGCAGCCCATTCAAATTCATGGCGCATAAACAGCAAAGAGAAAGGACCCGATGGCTCAACTCACCCAACAGCTACTTGAAGGTCAATGTCCCTGAACAATCACCCAGTGGAGACGTCAGCCCGAGGACCAAAACCATGGTATACAGATATTTTCATCAGGTTTTATGTGATCATCCATTCCTCTCTGCTGAAGTGTTAGAGGCGCGGCCATTCCTTTGTATCATGCTGCCCTCATGTGGCATGTTTGGCACAAGCACGTTTGGAATCTGAAATGTTTCTAATTAGTCTTTTTTCTTCTTCTTAGTGGATGAAATCCTCCCAGCCAGGCAACAATGTCGGCACCCCCATAAAAATTGATGATCCTAACCAGTTTGTCCCACTAAACACAAATCCAACTGAGGTTTTGGATAAGAGGAACCAGGTCAGTGGAGAACTAATTTTGTCTACAGACTAAAAGGAAGCGATAAAAAATCAGTATATGAATTATTTAAGTTTTCTTTGAAACATTTGAAAGAAAATCATTTGAAGTGCTGGGAAATATTCACTATTTTATTGCAAGTAAACATGAATTAATTGAATTAATCAGATCTCCAGAACTCCCTAAGCATGTCCAATACTCATTTGAATTAACCTTTTTCTGTAGAAGTGACACAAGCCGTTTTCCTAACTTAAACCATGTAACAATTGATGCCATTTTCTTGCCATCTGACTGAGTAACAGTGCTACGTCTACTTTGAATTAGTCTCAAATCAAATTGTCTGATTGATAGTAGACATCACACAGGAGCACAGAATCTTATGGCACAACAGAACTGAAAGTGGCCTTTTTCTCCTATTCTCTTTATTATCCACCTTTTTATATCCAGTGAATGTGTTTAATTGTGCAGAGGAGTATCTGCAAGTTTGTTCACTTTGCACCAACCACTAAAAATCTCATTCATTACTTTGAGAATAGCAGTTAGCTGCCTTTTCAGGTGGAAAATATTATGTGTACCCTTTCAAATAAAGAATCTTTTCCTTTGCATTTTGGCATATAAAGCAAGGGGAAATCTAACAATAGTAAATGATCTCGGCTGCATCTGCAGCCTTTCATCTCTGTCTGACTCACTCACAGTTCTCACATAAAAGACATTATTTCAAAAGTCACCAGTGTCTGAGTGACGTCAGTTCCACAGGTTCGTGAAACCATATGTTATGTAACTCACATCCAGGAGGGGTTTTTAAAACCAGTGGGTGTATCAGTCAATCTCCCGTTCTGCCTTTTTTGAGTGCTTGTAACAACCGTATGGCTTACAAATGCCATTTTAGCAGATGTATTTGGCTGCATTAATGTTCCATGTAATGTAAATGTGCCGTTTCTTTTTTTTTTTTTTAAACACAGATAAAAGAACAGCACAGAGGAGACCAGATGACTCCGGGTCCAAAATCTCAGCTGCTAGCAGGCATTGTTGTAGACACCATACCAGGACCAGTAAGTATACTTAAAGTTTCCCTCTCATTCACCAACAAAACATTCAGAGCAATCGCCATAGAATCCTGCACAAGGCCATCCTTCAATTAAAAACATTTGTTTCTGTCAAATGTTAAGTAATATATTCCTTTAGTCTGACTTTGAATGGAACAGTTGAAGAAACAAAGGGCCTTCATAAAAAAAACTAAAGGCTTCCATTATTTTTTCTCTGTTCAGGGTCATTCTGTGCTTTTTAAAAAAAAGCTCTCCTATTTTCATTGTGCAAGTCATTAAAGTAATCTAGCTTGCCAAAACATTTCCTTAATTCTGGTTAGCAATTCAAGGTTACAACACATAGATCATAAAAAAATCTATTCTAATTGGACTCATCAATGCTATGTACATGTGGGTGCACTCCGGCCACTCTGGCTTCCTCCCACAGTCCAGAAACACGCATATTTGGTTAACTAGGGATAATAAATTGCCTCTAGGAATGACTGTGAGTGAGTGTGAATGTATTTTGAGACTATGCTCTGTAATTAAGGTTACTACAAACAATATTGTTCCTTTAAGAAACCCAAATTCCAAATGCTGCTGTAGGAAAAGGTTTTGTATAGTTTACAGAAATTCACTCACATTCTTTTTATTTGTGCCACTTAAGCTGTGAACAGAGGATAAAACTGTCTCCACTCTTAAATGTGAGCGTCCCAATCAGGTGACTGTAATGACCGTGTGTATTCTTCCTTCTGTCAGGCTTTCATCATTGAAGATGAGGAGCAGACCCGCTCGCTTCCCCCCAACCCTTTCAATGATCTCACAGAGAAGGAGTTAGCAGACTACAAAAGCTTGGTAGAAAAAAAGCAGGACGGCCAAGAAGGTACTCATCATCTTGTCTTCAGGAATTAAGAAGACTGTGTCTTCTCTTTGCTCTTATTGCAGCCACATGATAGCTGTGTAACTAACCTCTAATCCAGGTAGCTCATTAGTCTACCCAGAGGTTTTGGCTCCTGCCTGGAGCAAATGTTGGAGGGAAACCAGAAGTTTCCTTCAAAAGTGCGATGGGGGTAAAGCTGACAGTTGTCGGTTTTCTCTCTTCCTCTGTGCTGTGATGTTTGCTCACAGGGTGGCAGGAGACGAGCTGCAAAGACATCAGCCTTGTCAAACTGCACGTCGTAGTTATGACTGTAGATGAGAATAACATGTGCGTGCACAAGTGGCAGATCCGTGCATTAAAGTAGAAACTGCATTTATCCTGATAACGTTTCAGAAGTGGAACGTGATACCTGAAGGCATCAACTTTATTTAACAATTGTCGTTGGTCTTTTCCATTCTAAAAGTTCTGGGCATTACCGGTATCTCATATGGTAACAGTTCCATTGGTCAGAATTTACATACGATACATGTAGTACATAGTAAATATTCATGAGGCAGTGAGGAGGACAGCCTAGATGGATGACTGACCTTTATGACTTTTCAGAAGATGATGATGCCACTGATGCCGATGAGATGACCACATTTGATGGATCCACAATTTCCCTCTCCCTCTCACCTATAATGACACCAGCTAAACAAGGTAATTAGCAATTCCACTGGTGTTTGCCTTTGAGTTAAAGGGTGTCCCCTTAAATTAAAGGAGGCCGTAACTCATTATTACAACCAAGTTTGTGTGATTGAACCAGCACGCGTCACTGACTTGTTTCATTTGTTGACAGACACCGTACCCAATGGGAAAGACCACTCGACAGATATGGAAGAGGATCTGAGCATTGAGGTATCCAAGCTGAGCGTGAGCACATCCGAAACGGTAGAAATCTCCATCACAACAAAAGAGAAGACGGGAGAGGCTCAGACCCCAGAGAGCCAAACCAAGTCCCCGAAGAAAAAGAAGAACAAATTCCGCACTCCTTCGTTCTTGAAGAAGAGCAAGAAGAAGAAGGAGGAGAAAGAAAAAGCAGAGGCTTAAGTGCGTTTTCGTTTTTAAAAATGTTTTGCGAGGAAAGCATCTGCATCCTTCCTAATTTGCTTGTTTTGAAGAGAAATTAAAATAAGAGCAATGGTAGAGGTAGTGATGGCAGAATGTTTTTTTTAATCTAAAGCTATTATTCCAAGTTCTGTTCAGATATGCTAATTGATACCTGCATTTTTACAGTTATTACCATACTTTTTTATGGAGTTTAAAAGTGTTTTTTACAGGAAAAAGCTCAGTAGATCAAATTATGCTACATCATAATTGGATTGGTTACATATTTCCATTTTTTCTTTCTTTTTGCACAAATTAATGAATGTAAACTGAGAGCTAGGACAATTGTTTAACACTTTTTAAATGTTGCAGTCATAGCAGTAGTGTGTAGTAGTGGCTGAAGAAAAGTAGATTTGAGAATGTTTATTCCTATGAGAAGTACGATTTTTATTCAAATATAATCATACTTATAGTTCCATGTAATAATACATGAGTTTATATAATAGACATGACACTAGTATTTTAAAGTTACATAAATGATTTGATAGTTTTGACACATTTACATAATTTGTCTTAAACTGAACATGCTGTGATTAATAATACAGTCTTTATTCATGTTGTTACATGTGTATGCTGTTCCCAAGGCTGCTGCTTTACTATAACTGTCACAAGGAGTTGACTGCGGCTAACAGAAAGAATTCAGCAAAGTGATGGTTGTTGCGAATTGTTAATGATTACAAAGTCTGACTGTTCTTAATCACCACGTCTTTGGATGTTGACAATGAAAGTGGCAAGTCTGAGTCACAGAAAGTTAGAATTGATAGATGTTTTGAGCGGTTTTGTTCAAACTGTCAGTGAAGGCAAAACAGTGTGGAAATGTTTTTTTGTCTTAGCCAGAGTAAAGAGTGTGACATGAAGTGTACTAAATGATCAGATATTTACATCCCAGTCAGTAATGTGAATGCATTGTTTAAGCCCAAAGGGAGTGAACTTGTAAATAGTTTTTTGTGAAGTTTTTCTTTTTTTTTTTTTTTTTACGTTGAACCAAATATTAATGAAGCACATGTGACAGTACAATCTAATAACAATATTCTAACACACTTTGTATCATGCTTTTGTATGATCCAGTTTTACCTGTCATTAGGTTCCATATTTGCTCAAAATCACCCTGTGTTTACAGATTGTATTACTTTTGTAACTTCTGTGCCCAGTGCTCGTACTTCCCTGTTGTTTACATTGCTATTCGTATCGCCTGATTTTTTTCCCAAGGTGCTTTACATTACAGATCCCTCGCCTCAATGTCGGTTCCTTAAAACAGCCTTCCACCTGACATAATAAAAGCTGGATATCTTCCATTACTGCTTTCTTGCGTGTAAACCATTTATAATAATCAATTCTAATCTCTCATGATCAACATTGGAAGTTCTTGGAAATCCTTGCATATATTTCATAGGTAAAACTTATCCCTGGCACATTAATGCATAAAAACTTTATATAAGGCCACCATGATAAAAATAACTAAGTTCCTGAAGACATTGTCCCCTCATATTTAAAAAAAAAAAAGAAAAGAAAAAAAAGCTGCCCTTCCAAAAACAATGCAATCACTCTGTTCTGTGATAATATACCGTGTGAAGCTGCATAATCAGTCTTTGACCATGATATGAATGGGAGTTGTCATGGTGATGCGTTGAAGGGGGCTCTTGGGTGTGAGGGAGCTCTGGAGACAAAGAAGGGATTTGGTGTCTCCAACAGGTGTTCATGTTGGGGGAGTGACACGATCTGTACCTTCGCCATCCCAAAGCCACACACCCATCTGTGTGCTGTGGGACATGGGCAGAGACTACTAAACAGGATGGCAGAAGCAGTCTGCATTTTAAATGAAGAAATAAAAAAACAAACATCAGCATGTCATTCCGAATAAGTCAAGCCACTCAAGCAAGAAACTTTGCCTCCTAATTTTCCCCATTGGACCACCAAAGAATGAGCAGTGTGAAAGCCCCAGGCTTGTTTGTGGGGCGTGACACATTTTAAGTGTGGGGCTGACAAAGGTCAAAGGTCTCGTCTGTACTGACAGTGCTAAAGAGAGTAAAGAGCAGGTGACACATGTGCTGGGACTGCAGGGCTAAGTGCTGCTATTGTTTTAAAAACAACAGGCGACTGCCTCTGCACAATGAAGTCTGAGGCCATTATCTAAAGATAGATAGATAGATAGATAGATAGATAGATAGATAGATAGATAGA